TTTTGAAGGGATTGCTCCATTAGGAATAAAGTGTGTGTTGAAACACTTAGTTCTCATGGGAGAGCTAGACTTAGATCTCTTCAATGCTGCAGTGACTGGTTTCCCATACTCTCCAGTTGATAGTAGAGATAAACCAAGTGTTATTACCTACAGTACATTAGCTTCCAGTGACAATAAGTTGAAGCAGTCCTCGGGGCAAATGATTGTTCTTCTGAAAATTTTGCCATTTCTGATTGATGCAGCCAAAGGTACTGAACACTACGCATTAATTCTTGAACTCATTGAGATAGTTCAGATTTTACTTGCTCCTGTCATCAGTCTGCAGACTATTAACAAGTTGAAAATCCTCATTGAACAGCACTTGAAGCACATGAAAGCCCTATTCCCATATAACAACATCACACCAAAACAACATTATTTGATTCATACACCAAGCCAAATTAAACGTTTGGGACCAATGGTCCGTCATATGTGCATGAGATTTGAATCGAAACATTGCTTTTTCAAACAATGGGCGTCAAAAATAAATTTTAAAAATGTTTGCAAATCTTTAATAAAGCATAATCAAATGTATGAATGTTCTCAGAATGTGGATAGTTTTGATCACCCCATTTTTTCCAATGAATGCACATTAGGACCAACCTCAGAAGTAAGCATAATGTCATACTTAAAAGAAAAAATGAGGGCCTTCCTTGGAAATGATGAAGTAAACCATGCAGTGACTGTTAAATGGCTTAATCTAAATGGTAACAAATACATAAGGGATAGGTCATTAATTGTTTGTGCTGTTGGTTCTAGTGGTTTACCTATATTTGGGCTTGTGAAAAATATCTATGTGATCAATTCATCATTGTACTGTTTTGAATTCCAGCAGCACAATACCATTTGTTATGACAAAGATTACATGTCATATAAGATAGAGATTCCAAACATGGCACAAGCAACGGAGCTGATATCCGCTGATAATCTTATGGATTTCACTCCATATTACAGTTTCACACACAAAGATATGACATATGCAGTCATGAAAAATTACCTGTGTGATGTAATTGGACTACACATGAGTTCAACAGATGTTTTATAAAAGGCACACTGCTTTACATGCATGAACTGTATTATCAGGTTATTGTTTTGGACAGTTTTGTTGTTGAGTTTTCTATCAAATCTGACAGTTGAATGCGATTGTAGCATTGCCACAGTGAAGATATGTGTACTGATACTTGTCTGATGCTGATCTATTAATCTGTTTGACATGGCCTAAAGTGAATGAGTTATGCCGTTTCTGTTTTTCAAATGGGCCTGTATTTCATGTTTATCATGTGCTTTTAGTTCCAGCTTTTGTGCATGTTTTGTCAAACTTGACAGCAGTTTTATTACACTTTAGTGTCAATAAATACATTTCTTAAACTGAGCAGCTGTTTAAGTGGCCTTACTCTTGAAATGAGAAAAATAATCTTGTTTTTATTAGGGAATTTCAACCAAACGGTTTTCATACCTTGTAACTGGTAAATAAAGCTCAAGATGAGCTGAAATATCCTTTTAAGGAAAAGTTAGACATATTTTCCTAGAATAAAATTTATTTTCTTGTGCAAAACTTGCTTGTTAAGAATATATTTTCTTTTTAGACAAAAAATAAGAAAAAATGTCCATAAACAAGGGTTTTTTTACTTTCTTGAAAATCGTTTTTTGCAGTGCAGTATTTTCCTTGCCAATGTGAGTTCTCTGGCAAACAAAATGGATGAGATACGGCTCTCCATCACTAACAACAGATGGATTATGGACTCAAATGTCATGTTTTTCACCAAAACATGGTTGAACAACAATTGCCCAGACAATGCTATCAAGTTAGCAGGACGCTACACACACCGAGCCGACAGGCTAGCAGATGACTCCAGCAAGACCAGAGGTGGAGGTTTGTGCATTTATATTAACAACGCTTGGTGCATGAACTCCACTACTACTGGGAGTCACTGCTCACCTAACTTTTAATGGTCAAATGCAGACCTTATTATCTCCCCAGAGAACTCACTTCTATCATACTCACTGCAGTGTATATCCCCCCTAACGCTAATGCTAGGTTGGCCATGAAAGAACTTTCTGGAGCCAGAATAAACACCCCGAGGCTGCTTTTATTGTTGCTGGTGACTTCAACCACACCAACTTAAAGACAGTCCTCCCCAGATTCCACCAACATGTCTCCTGCCACACCAGAGGAGACAAGACTTTAGACCATGTTTATTCCAACTTGGCTGGAGCATACAAAGCAACACCCCTCCCCCACATTGGACAATCGGACCATCTCTCCCTGTTCCTCACACCTCGGTATTCACCACTCATCCAACGTATGAAAGCTGCTGTGAGGACAATTAAAGTGTGGCCAGAGGGGACAGACACAGTTCTCCAGGACAGATTTAAAAACACAGACTGGAATATGTTCACCCACACAGACCTGGACAAGTATGCCTCATCTGTACTGGATTACCTCTCCAAAACCACAGACAGTGTCACCACCCAGAAACGGATCACCATGTACCCCAACCAGAACCCTTGGATGAACCGGGATGTTCGTCTCCTCCTGAAGGCCCGCAACACCGTCTTTAGGTCAGGAGATGCACACGCCTACAGTACAGCCAGGGCTAATCTAAAGAAGGGTATCAAAAAAGCCAAACACCATTACAAAAAGAAGGCAGAAGAACACTTCTCCAACTCCAACCCCCGACGCATGTGGCAAGGACTCCAGACCATTACAGACTACAGGACCACCAAACCCTCCCCCGCATCCTCTGATGTCTCCTTCCTCAACGAGCTCAACAACTTTTATGCTCGTTTTGAGCGAGGGAACCCCACAATCACAACCAAAGCAGACATGACGCCAGACCACCAACCTCTGACTGTCTCCCCCACCGATGTAGGTGCGGTGCTGAGCAGGATCAATGTCCACAAGGCTGCAGGTCCTGATGGTATCCCCGGGCATGTTCTCAGAGCGTGTTCTGGGGAGCTTGCAGGAGTGCTCACAGACATATTCAACCTGTCCTTGGCACACGCTGTGGTACCGGCACACTTCAAATCCTGTCTCCCCCCCACCCTGGGCCCCCACCAATTAGCATACCACCAGAACAGGAGCACAGGGGATGCAGTCTCCATCGCACTGCACTCTGTCCTCTCACACCTGGACAATAGCAACACCTACACCAGAATGCTGTTTATAGACTTCAGTTCAGCATTCAATACAATCCACCCCTCACAACTCATCGGGGCATCAGTTCCCTCATGTGCAAATGGTTACTGGACTTCCTGACCAACCGCCCCCAACACGTCCGGCTAGATAACCACTGCTCATCTACAATCACAATGAACACGGCTGTGTGATGAGCCCTTTCCTCTACTCCCTCTTCACCCACGACTGCAGACCTGCCGATGGTTCTAACACCATCATTAAGTTTGCAGATGACACCACGGTGATTGGCCTCATCAGTGGCAACGATGAGGCCGCCTACAGGGAGGAGGTAGATTGTCTGGCTGAGTGGTGCGACACAAACAACCTGCTGCTTAACACCGAGAAGACCAAGGAGCTCATCGTGGACTACAGGAGGAATGTTGACCCACATCCACCCATCTACATTAAGGGGACGGCTGTGGAGCGTGTGAGCAGCTTCAAGTTCCTGGGAGTTCACATCTCCGAGGATCTCATCTGGACGACCAACTGCTCCAAACTGCTCCAAGCTGGTCAAGAAGGCTCACCAGCGCCTCTTCTTCTTGAGGACTCTGAGGAAGAACCACCTATCCTCAGACATCCTGGTGAACTTCTATCGCTGCACCATCGAGAGCATCCTGACCAACTGTATAACAGTCGGGAACTGCTCTGCCTTGGACCGGAAGGCGGTGCAGAGGGTTGTGAAAACTGCCCAGCGCGTCGCCGGAGCACCACTTCCTGCCATAAAGGACATCTACAGGAAGCGGTGTCTGAAAAGGGCTGGGAAAATCATGAAAGACCCCAGTCACCCATCACATGGACTCTTCACCCTCCTGTCCTCTGGGAGGGGCTACAGGAGCCTCTGGACTAAGATCACCAGGTACCGGAATAGCTTCTTCCCCACAGCTGTCAGACTCCTGAACTCTACCTCCTGACATCTGACCCAAGTTAACACATGGACTGGACATACACACACCCACAACCACCTACACACACATACAATGGACAACTGTACCCTCAAACACACAATAATAACATGGACTGAACCACCACTCACAACCACTAGCACTTTATATAGCCTCTTAACTGCACTACTGTATAGTTCTGTATAAATAATCATACGATAATTTTTAATTCTACAACTGTGTACAACTTGCATAGTTCCCATTTCTGTATAGCTGTATATCTCATATTTCTGTATAGTTCTTTATTTCATATTCTGTATAGTTGTATTTTTCATATTTATATCCTGTTCATAGCCTGCACATAGCTTGTACTCACTACAGCCTGTACATACTTATAGTTATAGCATATTCATAACATACTTCATACCGTGTACATATTACATACCGTAGTAGACCCATTTCTGTAATATACTTACATATCTATATTATTGCTAATATATATTGTAATATATCTATATCATGGCTAAAGCACTTCTGGATGGATGCAAACTGCATTTCGTTGCCCTGTGACATGTGCAATGACAATAAAGTTGAATTATATTCTATTCTATTCTAATTACAAGAGACTGAACAACCATGTTTCAGACCTCCTTCTCTCTTGAGGATGAGGCAACTTGATAAAAACCTTATAGAGACTCGCATGATACGCTGTGTGTGTTTGGGTGATGAAGGTGCTCAGAGACAAATTTCAGGTTCATATATTTTTATGAACCAGAGAAACAACAGGATTTAAATACTGCTATAGTCTTGGATTTGTTTTTTGGTTGTTTGTTTTTGTTTTGGATTTTTACTGGTTTTACAATTTTTAATTATTTTTTAATGTTTTGTCTTTGAAAACAATAATGGATAAAGAGTTAAATGTTACCTTTCTAACTCTGGACTGGTACACGGAAATTAACAAGTACAGATATATTTTCTTTTTTATTATGTTTACACTATATATTCTAATAATCTGCACTAATTCTACTATTCTGTATCTCATCTGGAATCATAAAAACCTCCATGAGCCTATGTACATTTTCATTGCAGCATTGCTACTGAACTCTGTTCTTTACAGCACAACTGTTTACCCAAAACTGCTGATTGACTTTTCATCTGAAAAACAAGTCACAACATATTCAGCCTGTCTCTTTCAGTTCTTTATATTTTACACTCTAGTTTTATCAGAGTTCCTTCTGTTGGCTGCCATGGCCTATGACAGATATGTGGCTATATGTAAACCTCTGGAATATCAAACTATCATGAGAAAAACTACTGTGGGTATTTTCCTGGTCGTGGCTTGGCTTGTACCTGCTTGTCAAGTTGCTGTCCAAGCAATAGCAAGTGCTGAAGCTAAACTGTGTGACTCTAATATAAAAGGAATATTTTGTAATAATGCAGTTTACACTCTTCAGTGTGAAAGATCAAAATTAATTACCATCTTTGGTGTGGTCATTGTATTAGATCTTGCAATTCTTCCTATGCTCTTTATAGTTTTCACATACACAAAAATCTTTATAGTTTCTCATCGAAGTTGTAAAGAAATTAGGAAGAAAGCTGCAGAGACTTGTTTACCCCATCTCTTAGTTTTATTAAGTCTCTCTGTGTTTTTTGTGTATGATGTAAGCATAGCTCGTGCAAATCCAGATTTTCCAAAAACCACACGCATAATAATGACATTACAAATAATGCTCTATCAGCCTTTGCTAAATCCATTCATTTATGGACTCAAAATGAAGGAAATTTCTAAACATCTAAATAAGCTGCTTTCTCAGACCAACATCAGTCCTTGTATTAAAACTTAAAGCTAAGGTGAAGTAATTTTGTTGTTAATCAATTGTGTGCAGTTATTTTAAACACTTTTGAAATAGCCCAGACTACTAATACTCTGCCTATTTGTTAGTACATACAGTATAGTAGATATTGCCTGCCTTGTGTTTGCCTTTATGCTGCCTATGGTTGATGGAAATTATCTCGGTTAATTTCTTTGGTAGTAAACTGTTAAAGGTGTGTGACACACACTTTCAAATTCACCATTAACCTCCATATTTTTTGCATCATGCTTGTCCATAAACACCTCGTATAAGATTAACTGAAGACCTGGAGAATTCTTTAGATTTGTAATACAGTTGGGATACCAATCTACATTCAGTTAAAGCAGATATTGTCATATCTGTCTGTTTGTTTCTGTGCTAACATCAGTTGCATTTCAGTGCAACAGAATTCACAATAAAACTGTTGCCATGTACTCACATTCCTGGTTTTATTGTCTGACATCTGTCCAGAGTGGCTCCACAGTATAGTGGTTTATACTTTTGGCTGTTAATTGAAAGTTCCCTGGTTTGGACATGAAAGATCCCACAAAGAGAAACAAATCTCTGTCGTATTACATTAGGAAGGGTGCCTGATAAAAAAATCTGCTGAAGCAAACATGCAAACTGCTGTGGCAACATCTTGTGAAAAAGTAGCTTTACTGTCAGACAGCTGTATATGCATGAAAAACACATAAAACCATCTTTACTTCAAAACCATTTTCTAACCTACTTCTTGCTTCTCTTCAATCACAACCTCAATTTTATGACACGGACAGTGTCTAACTGTAATTACATAATTAAATGTCATTTATTATTCTTACATTCATTCATTCATACATTATAAGTCACATGTTACAAAAGTTTTCTGTTACTTGTTTGTCCTGTTACAGCACTACAGCATTTAGATATGTGAACACCTGTATGATTTTTGTTATACCTATGAGGTATATTATTATTAAAGAAAAATTAGGCTTTTTGGATATTTATCTAGCAGACTTTGTCACCTAAAGGACTGAATGATGAACTTGTTCTCAATGTAATGTTATGGTTCCGTCATGATATCAATTTTTAGGGAGCGTTCTGCTTGATACGATGTGCTATCTGTATATGCTGTGGTGAATTTTTGTATTCTTTGTGCATTAATGATAATCAAGTAGATTAAAGAATGTGTACAGTATGGATAAAAAAACAATGTTACACTTGTGGTGTTTTATAGATTTGAATTGCTTGTAAAATTTTGTAAAATCCCACCGTGAACCCAATTCTCCAATCCTCCCCTGGAGCCAAGCCACTAACCATACCCTGCCACAAAAATGGTAAACAGTTGCTGAATTTTAGCTGTTTTTGCTTTTTGTTTGTTTGTTTTTGCCATCTTCAGGCTAGAGACAGTGTGTTTAAGTTCTATTTTTTTTTCTCATCTGTTGTTCATTTAGATGTGTGTTTTGGGGGTTTGGGGGGGGGGGGTTGTTGTTTTTAAACCTAGGAAATATTCAGTGTAATTTTTTTGAAACTGTGCAATATTACTCCGAAGTCTACACTGCTGGGGCAGCACGGTGCCATAGTAGATACCACTGTTGTCTCACAGCAAGAATGTCCTGAGTCTGACTCCACCATCTGGCCAGGGCCTTTCTGTTTCTTGATATTTTCAACAGTTCATGCTGCACAAAGTGTTTTTAATTCAAATGCAACTAAAATAAGTAAAATGCACAACAATGATGTAATAAAATATAAAAGACAAGAAATAAAACTATGATACCATAAAAACAACTAACGTTATTAAAACAAAAAATGTCTAGGTCCATTGTGTGTTAAAAGCCAGCTCATAAAAATGTGTCTCCAGTAAAGATTTAAAATGCTCCAGCAATTTGTGCAAATCTAATATTTAGAGTCACTTTATTCTGGAGTCTGGAGTCTGACACAGAGAAGCCTCTGCCACCACCAGATTTATGTTTAGACCCTGGAATGGATAACATTAGTTTTGAACTGGAATTCATGGTTCTTTCTGGAGCAGAGGATGTATGCTTCTTCTGTTTTCTATCAGTAAGCAGATGAGCAGCCACATTTTGGGCCATCTGGAGACGATAAATAAAAGACTGGTCCAAACCAAAGTACAAAGAATTGCAGTAGTCCAGTCTGCAAGTAATGAACAGATGAATAACACATTCAAAGACATTAGCTGGAAGGTATGGCTTTACATTGGCTTGCTGTCTCAGATGAAAAAAGCCTGACTGAACTACTGCACTCAACTGCCTACACCTACACAGTTTAAAGGAACCATCAAGGTGCACACTGAGGTTTTTTAACATTTGTCTTAAAACAAGATGATATAAGGGGCCTAGAGCACTGTCAATTATGCCCCTCCCCTTTGTGAGTGTGGACGCTTCATCTCTTTGCTCTTGAATGCTTTGCTTCTTATATTGATTTTTATTGATTTTTATGCTGATTTTTTCCCTTTTTTCCGTGTGAGCTTACCTGCGATAACTTCTGGACACTTGTAGATCATTAGGACTAGAGTGTTCTTAACAGAAACAGCAACATTTTATGGTTACCTTGTCCTCAGCGCTCCGTGTGTCTGTGGCCTAGACACAGCTGAAGCCTGATTACAGCGTCTGGGCACCGAGCAGCCTCAATAGCCTGGAAAGGTGCTAACCGCTAGGCTAACTAGCAACAAGATGCCTTCCCTCTCCACAGATGACTACCACAGCCTCCTGCAGAAGATTGCAGTACTGGAGACAAAAATTCATCGCTTAGAAGTAAACGTGGAGGTAAATGCACTGTGTGGAAATGAAACAACCTTGCCTTTGATTCAAAACAATGGCGATGAGCAAGCTAGCACACAGCTAAGGAGCACAGATAACATGACCAAGAAAGTAGACTCTGTGCATTATTATAAATCCTCAAGTGATAATCCCCCCTTAGACTGTCTTGGTGCAAAACCAAGACATAAATCATGTCTCCTGGAAGGGGGAGGACGTATCACAGGCAGGCCACAGCGAGCTGAAATCTCTGAAACCGACTGGCCTTCACTTCCTACGAGACAGAGAAGCTCTTCTACCCCTGTATACGGGAGGAAACAGGACTGGACAACCGTGAATAGGAAGGTTAACAACAAACCTCCAAAACAACTGAATGTGAAACTGCAGAACAGATTTGCTCCACTATCAAAGGACCCTGGATCTATATCGGACAACCATCCATCTAAAAGCAGCGAAATAAGGTCTGAAAATCTGTTGAAAAGTGAAAGGCCACAGGGAAAGCTAAAGGCTAGGCCTGAAACTCTGATTGTGGGTGACTCTGCCGTAAAGGATGTACAAAGGATGTGCGGTAAGAACACTAAAGTCCTCTGCTTTCCTAACGATATGGTCAACAACCTGAAGGAGAGAATTCTTCAAATTGCAGATGAATATCCAACGGTGACAAACATTGTTCTGCATACAGGGTCAAACGATGTGTCCAAACAACAGTCGGAGGTTCTGAAACGGGACTTTACTGGATTATTAAATACTGTAAACTCTCTGAATGCAGCTGTATTCGTCAGTGGACCTGTACCGCCGGTCAGAGGAGGAGACGAGAGATTCAGCAGGTTGTTTACACTGAATAAATGGCTTATATCAGCATGTGCTGACCACTCAGTGCATTTTATCGACAACTTTAATATTTTTTGGGAACGCAGGCATCTGTTCAAAGCAAATGGATTTAATTTTAACAAGTCAGGGGTGAAACTGTTCACCTCCAACTTGTTTTATTCCATACGTCATCCATCCGTGCTTGGTGCCAAGGCTGAGATAAACGAGGAGTTATCTCATAAAGAGGAACAAACAGTACTCCAAGAACAGACAAAGCCCAGCAGAAACCTTGAGGAGGAGCTCCATTTGCCCCCACCCGGGAAGAGCCTCAGAAAGGAGAGACAGCCATGGCATCTGAGGAAGAGCCTCAGAAAGGAGAGACATCTAAGGCAAGAAGAGGGGTCCCTATTTGCCTCCAACTCTCTCAACAACACCAACGACCAGGACAAGGGACCACGACCTTCCCCAGTCCCCCAAACCCCTGACAGGCCATCACCCTCCTCCCCCTCCCTTTCTCCCTCCTCCCCACACCTGAAATTCACTGAGGAGATGATGGAGCGGGTCAATGCTGGGCTCAGATCTACCCCCCGTCCCAATCCCTTTTTGTCCCCCATAAACCCCCCACCAGAGCGGCCAAAGGTTCGCCATCGAGCCCCACCCTCTCAGCCCACACAAATATATCAACAACAGTGATCACAAAACGGTGTATAACTGAACACAGTAGTGCAATTTTTAACCAGGTCTTCCCATTAACACCTGACCTGTCCAGAGGGTCAGTCAGTGAGCTCGTCAATAGCTTCAATGCTAACATGTTAAATGTAATGGACACTATTGCTCCCATTGAGGTGAAGGTTATCTCTGGAAGGAAAAAGTCTCCATGGAGAAACTCCACACTGGTGAAAAATGAAAAAAGAGAGTGTAGGAAAGCTGAGCGCAGATGGAGAAAAACAAACCTCCAGGTTCATTATGACATCTATAAAGAGAAACTTCACAATTATAATTTACAACTGAGGAGTGCAAGGAGGTCCTACTTCTCTGACATCATCACTAAAAACAGCCATAATGCTCGGGTCTTATTTTCTACAGTTGACAGGCTAACAAACCCCCTGTGTCAGTGGCAGCTGAACTTCATTCGACCATGGCCTGCAATGACTTTGCCAAATTCTTCACTGAAAAAATCCAAAAAATTAGACAAGCAATTGGTACATCAACAGCAGATCCAGGATATGTACTGTGTCCACCAAAAAACTGTTTAAACACCATGAAACAGTTTCAACCTATTAACAGCAAAGACCTGGAGGACATCTTAGGTCAACTGAACTCCTCCTCCTGCTGTTTAGATGTCCTGCCAACAAGTTTTTTCAAAAAGGTCTCAAAGACTTTAGAGTCAGACCTGTTACAGATCGTCAACTTTTCTTTATTATC